CTGTAGACTTTTGTAGTATTAAGTGTTTTACTTATATATGTAATATAGGGGAACGTGTCTTACACATTGAAACTATAGAATCTCATCATTTAAAGTTGTGGCTGTTGAATAGACAGACAACTACTATGATAAGAGTCTTTTGTGCAGTAAGGTGAGCCTTTGATGAAAATTACAGAAAAAATGTTAGAGCTTGATGACAATTAGATAAGGAATCTATAGAAAAAATTTAGAAGGAAGTAAGCTAACGTTTTTAAAGGTCTTTGAGGGTATATTCCAATTGTATTTTCTTTGCCTTACGTTTTGTTTTAAACAGTGCAAAGACAAGGCAGGCAGCTCTTGAAGGTATTAAAAATGCAGTGTCTTCAAAAATGCTTTATGAATTTATTCTGGAAAGAAGAATGACTTTAACTGATAGCATTGAGCGCTGCCTGAAAAAAGGTAAGGCCCCTGTTTTTGAGTCACAGGCTCAGAACTTAAAAGGAATTTGCTACCTTCCTTTTGTAGTAACATTTGTTAATGGGACCAGAGCATTGACTTACTCTTGGTAACACTTTATAATGGTCAAGGAATACACTGTATTTGTTATAACTCAGAATGAGACTTGATAGGTGTGTTTATGTAATAAAAGCATGAAAGTAGGAAGGATTGGAGTGAATTGTCATCCTTTGTCCTATCAGAAGGGGTGATTGCCATCTTATTGTTAAATCAGAAAGCCTTAAAAGCTTGTGTCAAATGTAAACAAAGTGTTAATTAAAAAAAAAAATTCAACTTCATTTTTCTAAAATTAAAGAAGAATTATAATATCTATCCCACATTGTCTTGCGCTTGTTTAAAACATGGATTGTACTTATGGATGGCATGTCATTTACAGGGTCTCCCCTGGTATATTTGAATTCTAGAACTTTGTAATAGAAACTAGAGAAGTCATGTTGTAATCCTAGAGCTTTTAAGAATGGGGACACCTCTGAAAACTTTAAGGTTACTAGACTTTCCAGCTTTAGGAATCACCAAAATTGAAAAGATGTAGGGCTGCGGATTTTCTTTATTTTGCTAAGTAAGGACACTATGGAAATAGTTATCTTCTACCATTATTACTGTTTTATTTTTAAAAAAAATTCCTAGCACCAAAAATGTAGGAAGCATAAATGCTTCTTTATATGAATGAACTTGACTTTGATGTCCTTATTTTCTCATTTTGCCTCAGGTGAAAGCTTTGTTATGATCGAAACTCTTGATCTAATTCAGCCTTACTGTGCAGAAAGACATATTGTAAAAAAGGCCTAGCACAAGTGAGACTGATTGGTGGTTGAGTAACCTGTTAGCTGTATAGTTGCTAGCCAGCCTAACTTTTTTACAGATATTACAATAGCTTTATTAAAGGTGTTTCACATTGAAAATGTCTCTTAAAATGGGTAGTTAGACTAGGTGATCTTAAAAAATTCCTTTTCAATCTATGTAAGGAACTCCGGTGATATAGCGGTTAAAGCATTTATCTGCTGACCAAAAGTTTGGTGGTTCAAACCTACCACCTGCACCACAGAAAAAAGATGTGAGGCAGTCTGCTTCTGTAAAGATTTAAAGCCTTGGAAACTCAGTGGGGATCACTATGAGTTGGAAACTTGATGACAGTGGGTTTGTTTTTTGGTTTCCAATCTGTATATTTTATAAATCTATAATTTATTATATAATATTTAAGTATAATATTTGTCTGAAACCTTTTGGTATAAATAGTTCTGAAAAGAGTTAATTTACGTTTACCTTTATTAAAATGTGTTTTATAATGTTTTAAGGAATGGGTTGTATACATCTGAAATGCTTGGGAGATTAAGTCATGGGCTAATTCAGCACTATTCAGGAGTTGAAAGGTAGAAATTGGCTTAAAACACATTATTTTGTTGAACTGTTATGGTACTGCTTTAAAGTAAGTATTAATCCCTGTTTTACAGATAAAGAAACCAGTTTAGGGAACGAGAGTAATAAATTGAAGGTCATTAGACTAACGTGTTGCATCTAGGATTTTAATGAGTTTTCTTTGCAAAGTTTCAGTTCTTATGTTCACTGGGTTTATAACTTACATCCAAGCCTAGGGCATAGGAAGGGTTTCATAAATGATAGCTGCTATTTTGAAATTAAACTCATTTGGGGAATTGCTATGATGTAAGCTATATTTAAGTTAGTCTACTGCGGATAATGTGTCATGGTTTTGTCCTGACCTCTTTTACAGGTAAGAGTGATGAGCAGCGGGCAGCTGCAGCGTTAGCGTGTGTCCTTTGTATTCAGTTGGGCCCCGGAATTGAAAGTGAAGAGATTTTGAAAACTCTGGGACCAATCCTAAAGAAAATAATTTGTGATGGAACAGCTAGTATCCAGGCTAGGCAAACTGTGAGTATAAGATTGACAACTTTGCGATTAGAGCTCTCTCTTGGCATGACAGCCCGGCATTCCGATGAAGAATCTAGGAAAATGGCATTTCTTAAATAGTAGGTTTTTATTAACATTTGATTCTTATTTGTCTTTTAGTTTTAGTAAGCATGACAGCTACTTTTCCACATTTTCTGAGATAGCATAGATCATCTCAGAGAGAGTAAATGTCTTCGTCTTTGAAGTTGAACATGACACACTGGTGTTAAATACTGTATTGAGTTACTTAGGATGATGGTAGAATAGTGTTTTGGACTGGGACTTGAAGAAGCAGTCTAGATACTTAATGTTTATTGGGTGGTTATTTTTTATTCTAAGGAATATCATAGTAGAATAGAAAATTGATTAAAAAGGAACTTTTTTGATTAGTGACAACAGTTTTTCTTTTCTGGCTGTCTTGGCCTAGCAGTCTTGTCTTAGCAGCTTGATGCTGTGTTTACAAAGGTGGGTTTGGGTAGATTTAATTCTCTGATATTTACTATTCTTAACATTTGACTTTAGATTGTGGTATTAATTTTTTTAATTTTTGTTGGTTTTTTGCTTTGTTTTGGTGAGCCCATGAAACGTGATTTAAGTGATTACATGAGCATGCTTTGCTGTATCACCGAAACATGCCAGGTGTTTATGGTGGGTTATTTGTAAAGTAATGTATGAGTGTTAAGCTGTTTCCCTGACAAGTTGAACTAGTTCAATTTTGAAACTTTCTAATACTGGTTGTTCAAAGTAGCTTCATGTTGCAAACCCTATGGGGCCAGTTCTACTTTGTTCTGTAGGGTTGCTGTGAGTCACAGTTGATTCGACAGCGGTGGGTATTTGGGTTATTATTATTTAAGGTAAGTGATGTTAATCGTTGTACCAGATAAACCCTAACATCTTTGTGACTTTGCAGAAACCACTATCACTGCCTTTAGCAAGTTGGCAGGGAGCCAGGCCCCTATCCTTTGCCTCTGCTCCACCTCTAGGTCTTCTACTGCCAAGATTTAGATAGGGAAAACAAGAGGACAGGCTCAGTTCTGTGCCTTGGCCCTTAACTTATTTGGCTGGTGGCTGGAATGGCCTACCTGTGTGCCCTGAGGGAAAAGGAGTAGGGGTTTGTGACTTCATAGAAATCTCTGTGTCCTCCTTTCCTGAGAATACGCTGGGGCTGCTTTTAAATTTTAGCAACATCCAAGATGGGGCGATCTACTTCCATAGTGATACTGGCTTGGAAACCCAAGGAGGGGTCGCTGTGAGTTGGCTCCGACTCGACGGCACATAACAACAACAACAATTATTATCAGAGTGAATAAAATAGTGACACCACACAGATTATTATCATAAGCTTCCTTAGTCCTGGAGCAGAACTAGCCAGAACTTGGGCATATGAAATGTTACTTTAAAGATTGAAAGCTTTAGTGATACTTTTAAGAACATGAGGGAATTTCAGTGACAGCATACAGCGTCAAGGAGAGTGGAGAATAGTCAAGTCTGACACATTACAAATTCTCACTAATTAGGATGGGGTACGCAAGTTGGTGCTACCATGTTACTCTTGATGCAGTTTCTGCCTTTAATATGATGAATTCGTTAAAGCAGTGTTCTGCGAATCGATGACTCCCGTTTGTGTTACAGGTAAGCCGTTTATAGAGAAGTACTGTGTTGGGAGTCTGTGCTTTTAGGTGTGCCTTACCTTTGTGGTCTTACAGTGTACTCACATGTTTAGCCCCTTTTTCACAACAAAGGGCAATTAAAGAATTCCCACAACTCCCCCACCCCCTCCAAAAACACTCTTTCCCGCACACTCCAAAATGAGTGAGACCTGACTTAACGAGCTCCTTCTTGGGGTAGGAGGTTTGAGGGATTTCTGCTCCTTTATGGTCCTGGAAGCTTATTTTATATTGGTGTCTACATAAAAGCAAAAATGAATACAAATGATTTTAAAAGCTTAGAAACCTAGAGAAAAATTTAATGTCTTTTTTAAAGTTTTTAATAGAGTAGGTTTTGTTATTTCAGATGTCCAAACGTCATCTCTCCCTGAGATGGAGTAAAAGCCTGAAATGATCTGTTAGGTGTCTGTAGTGTGTATGGAAAGGAAGCAATGAGGAATATAGTTATTGATGCTTTTAAGATGCTTTACACCCATAGAGTAACCCGACAGTCTCAGTCATAGGGTGTGGAGCTGGAATGGATTTTGACATTATTAATTCACTTGCATGTGCTCTTGCCTTGCCAGTTTTATAATGGGTGACCCTAGGGAGCTCTGGTAGCATAGTGGCTAAGGCACTTGACTGCTAACCAGAAGGCTGGTGGATCAAACCCACCAGCCACTCCTCGGAAGGAAGGTTGGGCAATCCTACTTCCGTAGTGATACTGCCTCGGAAACCCAAGGAGGGGTCGCTATGAGTCGGGGACGACTCAATGGCAAATAACAACAACAGCAACAACAGAGAAAGTCAGTAACTTGCCTGAAGCCACGCCATGAGTCTGGCAGTAGAGCAGAGCCTGGGCTGAGATCTGCTCTTGACTCATGGGCGAGTATTCGTTCTCGCTTTCCCTTCATTCTATGCTATACTCATATAAACCAAAAACCAAACTCACTGCCATCAAGTTAATTCTGACTCATAGCGACCCCTCCTTGGGTTTCCGAGGTGGTGTCTCTATGGAAATAGATTGCCCAGTCTTCCTTCCGAGGAGTGGCTGGTGGATTTAGCACTCAAATGCCTTAGGCACTACACCACATTGACCTATAAAAGCAGGAAGATGTAGAATTAATGAGTAAAATTGTAAACTATTTGTATTTTCTTTTTCTATAGTGTGCAACTTGCTTTGGTCTTTGCTGTTTTATTGCCACAGATGACATTACTGTAAGTATAAAATCTTTGACTTCTGTTATTGGCACATATCTAATTTAAGATTGGTTAATCTTACTTGAAATTCTTATGCATTAGGAGCTGTATTCAACTCTAGAATGCTTGGAAAACATCTTCACCAAGTCCTATCTCAAAGAGAAAGACACTAATGGTATTTGCAGCACCCCTAATACAGTGCTTCATATCAGCTCGCTCCTTGCCTGGACCTTACTACTGACCATATGCCCCATCAATGAAGTGAAGAAAAAGCTTGAGATGTATGTATTTTCAGTTTTGTATTTTATAAAAATAATGTTCAGTGACACAATGTTCAGATGATAATGCTTAACTATTTTCTAGGCATCTCCATAAGCTTCCAAGCCTGCTCTCTTGTGATGATGTAAACATGAGAATTGCTGCTGGTGAATCTTTGGCCCTTCTGTTTGAATTGGCCAGGGGAATGGATAGCGTAAGTATCTAATTTACCGTTATTCTATCATTACCTTCACAATTAAAAATTAGAGGGTAACTTTGGAGTGTGGCCAGCTTGAGCACCTAGTGATTGATCACCTTGCTTCTTGGCAGGGCCAAGATAATTCTTGTGAGAGCATAGCCAATAGTGATTGATGGAGTCTTATTTGAGGGCATTACTAATTTTTGCTGTCTATAACACTAAAATCTAGAGATGTTTTCTTCTACTCGTGGAAAGAACTGTGTCTGGTGTAATCTGTATATGCTAGGATTTCTCAGACGTGTTGTTGTTACGTGCTGTCAAGTCAGACCCGACTCATAGCGACCCCTCCTTGGGCTTCTGAGGCGGTATCACTACGGAAATAGATTGCCCAACCTTCCTTCCGAGGAGTGGCTGGTGGGTTTGAACCGCCAGCCTTCTGGTTAGCAGTCAGGTGCCTTAGGCACTACACTACCAGCGCATCCATAGGACACATAAAAGGTAATTGATGTGTGGACGCTTAGTTTCCCAGGCCTGCCGTAACAGAATACCACACAGTGGGTGGTTTTAAATACCAGAATTTATTTCCTCTCAGTTCTGGAGGCTTGAAATCCACTTCAGAGCCTCAGCTGTGTCAGTTCTCTCATGAAGCTTCTCTTCTAGGGTCTGGTGCCTGCCAGCAGTCCATAGCAGTTCTTTATTGTTTGCGTCTATCATCAGGTGGGGTCTCTGTCTGTGCCTCTGTCTCTGTGCTCCCCTTTATAAGACACTACTCAAGAGGGATTACGTTTATAATGCACTCTACTCTAGTGAGTTCATGGTTGTTGTTGGGTGTCCTGGAGTCGATTCTGACTTGTAGTGACCCATGTGACAGAGTAGAACTGCCCCATAGCGTTTTCTGGGCTGTAGTCTTTACAGAAGCAGATTGCCAGGCCTTTCTGCCTTGGAGCTGCTGGGTGGGTTTGAACCACCAACCTTTTGTTAGCCCAGCACTTCACTGTTCTGCTGTTAACATAACAAACCCCCCCTATTTCCAGTGAGGATCCCATTTATAAGAACAGGGGTTAGGACTTCAGCATCTGTTTTGAGGGGCAGCAATTCAGTCTTTAACACATACTTTATAGTAATACCAGATGGTTGGAAGAAATATTAAATGACCATATATTTGGGATCAGGTGAGTCTAGTCACTGTGGTTTAACTCTCTGAGCTAAAGGTGGAAACAAACATGGCTCTTTAGACAGGGGTGTGTGCTTTGTAGCTCCCCACCCACCCTCTTCACTGCTGATGTTAGGTGCCATCGGTTTGGCTCTTGCAGGTTATGAGTTGGTGATAGATGATCACCCACCTTGGTTGCCTGGTACTGGTCCACTGTTAGCACTGCATGTCCTGTGTCCTAGGAAAGTCCTCTTCCCAGGTGAACTGGGACAGTTCATCACTTAGTTTGTGACCTCTATTCCAAGGATTAGAGAGCCCTGGTGGCACAGTGGTTAAGCACTCAGCTGCTAACTGAAAGGTCAGCTGTTCAAACCCACCAGCTGCTCTGTGGGAGAACAGTGAGGCACTCTGCTTCCATAAAGATGTACAGCTGTGGGAACTCCATGGGGCAGTTCTGCTCTGTCCTTTAGGGTCGCTATGAGTCAGAATCGACTCAATGGCACTGGTTTTGTTTATTTTTTAATACTAAGGCTTGCCCAGAGAAGGGCCTCAGAGATTAGAGCTGGAAGTAGCAAATTGTTTTTAGAGGTGTGATTCAGGTAGTGTGCTGAGTTTTAGGATGGAGGGGCAGCTTTTCCTGCCTTCACACTGAATCCATAGATACTGTCAGAGTAATCAGAAAGGTCCAATAAGGAAACTCAAATGGGAAATATTGCTAACCTGGGGTTATTCACTGGATGCTTTTTGTGAATTTGAGACAGACTATGTATTTCCACAGTGAAACTTTTTCTGCAATTTAGGGAGTTATTTAACAGTCAGTAATTCCAGTTAGGATTAATAAAGAGTTCCTCGTTGCCTGCCATATTTGGCGTTCTCCTTCCATTTTACTCTTGCATTTAGAAAATGTTTTAAATCCAACCCAACCCACTGCCACTGAGTCTGTCCTGCCTCATGGCGAACCTCTAGGGCTAGAGGTTCTCTAGAGTAGAAACTCACAGGGTTTCCAAGGCTGTAAATCATTATCGAAACAGAGTACCTCCTTGTTCTCCCGTGGAGCAGCTGGTGGATTTGAACCGCTGAGCTTTTGGTTAGCAGTTGAATGCTTTAACCACTGTGCTAGCAGAGCTCCTTGAGAAAATGTTTAGGCTCTTAAAATTTATATGTGTCAAGTGTCTCTTCTCATCTTCTTTACCTTCTCCTTTTTGGAAGAATAGGTATTAATGGAAAGTAAGTTAATGCCATCAATAGCTAATGGTTCTCCTTATTATGTGAGAAATTGTACTCAAGTTTAACCAGCAATTTAATTTTACTGAGCTAGTTAATGGGTCCTTAATCTCAAAGCAAAGAAACCAGATGGCCTAGTTTTTAGTTTTGTGTTCTTTAATGGTAGAAATAGTAGTAATTTATTTATTTTCTTTTCCTTTTTACATACATCTTAAATTGAGGTAACAGTGCAATTTAAATGATACATTTTGAGTTTATTTAAATTGTGTAAACATAAACATTGTTACCCAAATATCTTTTGTTTGTGTGTGTGTGTGAGAGTGTGTGTGTGAGAGAGAAAGAGCGCGAGAGAGCGAGAGGTGGTGGGGTTAGTTATAAGATAGTCAAAAATTAATTAAAGCAGCATTCATGAATACATAGGGAACTTTAAAGCAGCGTTCTTGTACCAAATGAGTGGCCGTGAATTATTCTGAACCTTTAGCTAGCAAAGTTGCTTTGTGATATTAACCAAAGAACCTAGATGTGTGATGAGTTCTGCCTGGGAGGGTTAGAAGAAAAACTTAGAGAGCTGATTCTTGAGTTTGGTTTTGAAGAATGAGGTGGTGAAATATTAGCTATTTGTTCAAAGTTGAAATTAAGGATTGTTAATACTTTATGAGAGCTCTCGTGGCTTACTATGCATGTTTGCCACATGACTGAGTAGATAACAGCGGACAGGAGCCACACTGCCAAGGTTCGAGTCTTTCCCACCCTTACTGGTTGGATGATGTTAGATGGCTTCTCTATGCCTCCTTGTCCAATGGAGAAAGTAATAGTAACTTTTCTCCATTCACAGGCTTGTTAAGAATACATGCTACATACAATGTAGGTGGTAGTAGTACACTATTCTGCCTCTCCCCCTTACCACCAGTAGTCTAGTAGTGGCCTTTTAGGAAATCTAGGATAACTTAAAATAAGACAAAGACTATTTTGTGACAGAACTATCTGTATGATATGCTGGTTCAAGCCTAACTTGGGAAATATGCTGAAATATAGTCAGACCTTCTCTGGTTCTCTTACTCCATCCCCATCTGATCTGACCCAGGGGGAGTGCTGCAGGAGAGACAGTGAGAGAGAAAGAGAGGGAGAGAGAGGGAGGGAGGAAGGGAGGGAGAGAAAGAGAATCCAAAGACTAAACATAGTTCTTGAGACTAAATCTTAAATTACTTAAGAGGTTATAATTCCAGGAAGGGAAACTCAAAATTCTTCTCCCTTCCTGCCTTTGTGTGTTTACAGGATAATTGATCCTATGTAAAAATCTCCATAGCCAGACAAAGATATTCTGCCTCAGCAGGGAATGAAAGGAATAAAAATCTTTGTGCTTGAGCAGAGCCACTCTGGAGGCAATGATGAAGAGAGATCTAGAGCTAAAGCCACTCCAGATAGAATGTTCTGTGTATTGCAGGGAATTGGGGGGATCAGAATCTGTTTCCCTGTTTACTGCCATTTGAATTTCATTTCATAACACTTAAGATGGTTGCAAAAGGTCCAGTTAGTTTCGTTTTGTATAAAATCAGTGATTTTATGTAGAAACGTTAGTTTTTGGAATGGTGTTTTGTGAATTTAGAGTCTTACTGTATTCATTTCCTAATAAACTGCCACCAACTGGGTGGCTTCAAACAGCAAACTTCCTGTCTTGAAGTTCTGGAGGCTGGAAGTCTGGAATCAAGATGGTGTCAGGCTCGTGGTCTCTCTGAAGGCTCTAGGGAGCAGTCCTTCCTTGCCTGTTGCTTGCTTCTGGTGATTATCAGCCATCCTCAGCACCCCTTGGCTTATAGGTGCATCGCTCTAGTCTCTGCCTACGTTACCACATGGTGGTCTTTCTCTGTGTGTGTGTGTTTGTGTGTGTGTGTCTTCCCATGGCCTTCTTATAAAGACACAAGTCTTTGGATTTAGTGTTCACCCTAATCCAGTTTGACCTCATCTTGATTTAACATAAGTATGTACTAAGACCCCATTTCCAAATAAGGTCACATTCTGGGGTTCTGGATGGAAATGAATTCTACCCTGTACACTCACTCTGTTCAGTGGTTTAATAAGGGCAGGCTCACTTCAAACTCTAGGAATTTTCTGTGGTTTCATTTTGAGATCTTAATTCCATTCAAGTTTTAAGACC